TTATGCTCTTCTGGGTTTCATATTGGCGTTGTTATCCCTCTTGTTAAGCTTTCCCGTGTTGCTATACTGCCAGTAGGATTATGATGTTCCTAGCATTAACCTGTCTTTAGGCCGTCAGAGTAAGCTGCCACTTAGATATTGTTGCTAGATCTGTCAGGTTGTGCAGTTTGTACGTATGTGCACGCATTTGCATGCCCAAATGTCGACGTAGAAGAACATTGTTGTTAAGCATTGGTTTTAGAATGTCCTGTCGTAGCATTGATTGGCTGTAACAGCCTGTCGGTTGTGCCAGCGGGGTACGTCGATTGTCATCCTCACCAATAGCCAGAGCAGTGCCTTGTAACTTTCCTCGAGCTTCTGGAGGGATCACCTCTGATCCATGAAGAGGATGGGTCTGGGACATCGTCGTGTAGACGGCGTGGCTTCCATGGCTGTCGTTGGCGCCATCACCTCTGCCCCCCTCCTGCTCAACGTTACGACTGTTTGTTTGCGTTTTTACGATGAAGTCATATCGATTTCACAGCTTCACCGGTTCGAGCTTTATTCTCGTCATGGCATTCCGCACTGTGGCGGCGGCGGCGGCGGCGGCGGTGGCGGTGCCGCGGCCGCGGCCGGAGGGAGCGAGGCACGCAGCTGTAGTAGCTAGGTTTACAGCACTATTGTACAAGCGGACGATAGCGCGATACAGAGACTGTATTCTATAAGCCAGTTCGTAGTTACAGTCTGCGCATGCGCGAACATGGCCACGAATTCTTCCGGGTCAGGTCATTTGTGACAACATGTTTCGTATTTCGACCGTACAGTACACATACGCATGCATCTGTGTCGTTGTAATGCTACAGTCTTCGTGTGTGCACGTACACGTTCGTGCGTGCGTGCGTGCGTGTGCACGTCCACGTGCTTGCGTGTGCACGTACACGTACACGTGCGTGCGTGCGTACGCACATACACGTGCGTACGTGCGTGCGTGCGTGTGCACGTACACGTGCGTGTGCATGTACACGTGCGTGCGTGCGTGTGCACGTACACGTGCGTACGTGCGTGCGTGTGCACGTACACGTGCGTGCATGCGTGCGTGTGCACGTACACGTGCTTGCGTGCGTGTGCACGTACCCGTCTGTGCGTGCGTGTGCACGTAGACGTGCGGGCGTGTGCGCGTGTGTACGTAAGAGTGCGTGCGTGTGCACGTACACGTGCGGGCGTGCTTGCGTGTGCACGTACACGTGCGTGCGTGCGTGCGTGCGTGCGCACGTGCAAGTGCTTGCGTGCGTGTGCACGCACACGTGCGGGCGTGCGTGCGTGTGCACGTACACGTGCGTGCGTGTGCACGTACACGTGCGTGCTTGCGTACGTACACGTGCGTGCGTGCGTGTGCACGTACACGTGCGTGCGTGTGCACGTACACGTGCGTGTGTGCGTGCGTGTGCACGAACGCGTGCGTGCGTATGCACGTGGCACGTAGGCACGTGCTGGTGCGTGCGTGCGTGCGTGCGTGTGCACGTACACACACGTGCGTGTACACACAGAATACATGTACATATACGTACTGATCGGAGAGCGCACGCGGCACTCGACATTTCATCGATTTTTGCCACAAATGACCCGGTGACCTGTGACGTCACCCAACCCTTGGCTAACTACCAACTGGCTTATTGGGGAGGGGTGCAATGAACGGCTGCAGAATTCGTTTGGAAGCATTGTTGATTACGCGTGATGTGCTGTTGAAGAGAAATACAAATGCTCGGGTATGCGTTGCTCTAGACAACGATGTGCATATTTTGCATGAGAGGAAAAAAAATTGGGTTGATGTCTTGTTTTTTTGTGTGTGAAAAAACTGCTTGGACGGTTGGAGAGCTTTCAGTCAGAGTTCGAGAATGTTGCATCATAGGCGGTGCATCACTGACGGGATCACCAGGAATGCATCCTAGCTTGGCTTTATCATTAGCAGCGCATATCAGTCTAACTGCACCGTTTGCAGTGAGTCTTGGTCTACCCGTGTCATTTTTGGTGTATACTAGGCTAGTTGCATCTTGCCCAATGTCTCCCAATCTGGCTGCACCGTTAGCAGTGCAGCTGCATTGTTGGCACTGCATTCTAGCGTGTCCATGTAGTTGGCTGACCATTCTAGTGCATCATCAGCAGTGCATCTTAATCTGGCTAGAGTATCAGAATTCCATCTTAGTCTGACTAGATTATGCACAATAATACGTCGTTGACTAGTTGTGCCGTAGTCTTCCTAGTTCAGCTTAGCTCCAGAAGTGATTAAAATTAATTTGTTTTTTATTCACTCGGGAGTGAAGGACTGTTATTATTTTATCACTTATACTGGAGCCACTCCTTACACGATTTTTTGTTTGTAGCAGCAAAACCCAGCATCTTATGATTGCATATAAAGGCAGTATCTTACACTGCTTCCCGCTTTGCTCAACACAAATATAGTATTAAAAAAAACTACAGAATATTTTTAGTCTACGCGATTTCGACGAGGTAGATAGTGTTCAAACAAACAAGCTGTTATTCACTGGGCACCATGCACACAAACAACAGCAAACTACTGTTGTCCACAGTACTGCTATAGTAGAAAAGTTGACCCTCTACCATTCTCACAGTGAATCTGCCCTTCTCACGGTGAATCATCGAATGACGTTATTACTGTACTGAGGAATTTAGTTATACCTGAAGCAATGTTATCTATTAAAATCAGTTAGAACCCCAGCAGCGTAATATGGGTCTTCTGTGTATCTAATATCTCTCACGCAGTGCGTGGCATACAATACTTGCAAGAATTATGTTGTAAGGATTTAGCTGATGATTGAATAAGAAGAGAACCCTCTGTGAAGTACCATCTGTAAGAGTAAACCCTCTGTAACAGATGAAACTAGATCGCAATAGAATAGGCAACCACACATCTTTCTCGGTGAACGTGAACAATCAGAAGCTAGCTCTGTAATTGTTAGCTGAGGTTATATTCATAAATCAAAATATAAAAATAAAGTATCAATACTGTTTTATCACAGTACGACTATACTAAATCTTAATATTATCCTGTAATTGTTAAATACCATATATATACAATATATAATTTGTGATTATAAAATCCTTCTCTACTTGTAAACTGTTTCTGTTACTGTTACCTCTCCCTATAAATGTAATGTTTCTCTATAAATGTAAGCTATCTATGTATTCGTAAAGTCACACATACGCGACGCACGGCCCCGCGCATTGAAAATTAATCAAAAAATGGAAAATAAGATCAGTGCGTCGTTGTGCGCCCAACTTTTGTCAGGATTTGGGAGAAGCTAGCGAGTTGACAACGAATGGACAGCGTGTTGCTAGCGCGCTGCACGTATACAGGGTGCATACAGAGCGTATACAGGGCGCACATGTTAAAAAATCCAACGAATCCAAAAAATTCAACGAAGAGGCAAGATGCCGCAGAGTGAGGGCAAGCTTCAGGCCAGGGTCGAGGGCCTCTATGTAGGTTGCATTCTGCTTGGTGATCCTCGGAACCATTCTGGTTAGCAGCTCGTCGAACATCTCGGGGGGGCATCCACATGAAGTTCTTGAAGGCTGCATGGTCTTCGTTACGGAGCTCAACAAGTAGCTGGTCATAAAGGCCAAACTGTTGTCGCCTACCGATCTACGGTCGGACCCAGAACCTCCGTTGACCTCTTCTTTTTCTCCTTCTCCTGATGACATGGACTTGGTGAATTTTGCGATCCCGCTTTCCTACCTGCTATATATATTAGTGTAAGCGGGCAACAGTGGAGCCGCGAGAGCAATGGCGCCTGCAGCGTATATGGTTGCACGTAGGATTTGGACGGAATTGGCAGGAAACTGTCGGCAATAATAGGTGAAAGAGAGTATAGAAACATTAAGAATTTGGTAGTAAATAGATTTCGTATTTAGTTAGCATTATATTTTATTGAAACGCTTCAAATCCCTGTGGACGAACATACAAAAAATACCCAGCGTGTGCTCCGCGTGTGTCTGGTGTTGGTCCAGCGCACTCTGCGCGTGTCTGGCGTCCTTCTCACGTGTACATTCATGCGTCGAGCTCCGCGCACATTTTTGTGCATGCACAAAAATCTCGACGCACACAGCGAATGACAACGAATGCATAGCCTTGGTCCAGCGCGCTCGACGAACGAGTAACTAATGCTGACGCACACCCAGCGAAAGACAACGCACTGGCCAAAATTGCAAATTTTTCAGTGCGCGGGCCGTGCGTCGTGTATGTGTGACTGGGCCATTAGCTATCTGTGCAATTGTAAGCTATCTCTATAAATGTAACATCTCTGTGTAATTGTAACTTGTTTCTTAGAAGTGTAAGCTATCTTTATAAATGTAAGCTATCTGTGTAATTGTAAGCTATCTCTATAAATGTAATGTCTCTATGTAATTGTAACATGTTACTTACATTGTTTTTATGTATCTCTTTAATCAGCTCTCACTCAATATCTCCCAAGTAGCTCCGTAGTTATAATCTCTCTATTTGTATACTACTACTACTACCCATAGTCACGCACTATATTTGTGAATGTATGCAGGGGTAGAAATAAGGAGAAAAAAAGAGATGGTCCACAGGACCATCTAGTTTGAAATTTAGATGCTCCTCCTAAATTTTAGATGGTTCTCCTAAATTTCAAATTGTTCTCTAAAAGTAATGCAGCATGCACGCGTAAGAAAGAGAATTTACATGATGATAAAATGGTTTAATTATTCACCTACAATGAATGTATCAAACGATACAGTAATTGTTTATTCACTTTAATAGTATATTGGAACATGGAAACTTCAAAGAAAATTACCGTAATATGGGACCAAAATATTCAATGGTTCGGCGGACCATTGACTTTGGAAATCTGATGGTCCTCCTGATTATTTGATGGCCCCGGACCATCGGACCATCGCTTATTTCGACCCCTGGCATGCATACATCTGGAATACGTCAGCGGGTTGGCAAAGTGTTTTCATACTCTTCGTTTTTATGGTTTCAGTTGGAGATTCGATGAACAACCTGTACCCTATGTTGTGGGAGCCACGCAAGGTCTACTGCATTTTTATTACGTGTACTATATGAAGATTATTATTCCATACTGTATAGAGATTAATATTACATACCATATATAGACCATTATTATCTACTATGTAAACATCATTATTACATACTATACAGGGTTTCTTTTGAGGGAATATTAGACAAAGGAGGTAATGGCCAGTTTGGGGAAAAACGTGCATGATGGATTCAAAGGCTGCAGGCGAACGCGGGGGGGGGGAGAGGGGGAACTCAGGGGTCTCCCCCAGCAAAATTGTAAAAATTTGAATGTCTCAAGAACATTTTCACAACGGCGATGTTAAATATAACAACGGTGGTGCTCCATTGTGCCTATTATGTATAAGAAACCCTGCTATATGAAGATCAATATTACATTCTGCCTATTGGTTAACATAATACCATATGAATCATAATATTACGTACAACATATAGAGATGTTCTCGAATAGCTGTAATAATTTTTCGAATTTTATTCTGCATTCAAACGTGATAAATTTACTGTTCGTGTTTCCTGCCGAATCAGATTGTTATGCATTTCTCTGTACTCTATGGAGGTTTTGATTTCGCAGAGTATTGGCACACTTGAGTAAATATTAGTAACTGGTAAAGCTAATCATTTTGTTTTGCCACCTTTCTACCAGTATTCGGCATGCTGTAGAATGTTGAGTTGAGAGCAACCCTGGGCATGTCGAGAATAAAATTTATGATTGTTTAATTTCAGCCTTACCAGTTCATCTCACTACCGCCGCAGCCACGGTCCAAGTCATGTGAAGTGCCTGGAATAAAGTTAGTATTAGTGAGAGAGAGAGAGAGAGTGAGAGAGAGAGAGAGAGAGAGAGAGAGAGAGAGAGAGAGAGAGAGAGAGAGAGAGAGAGAGAGAGAGAGAGAGAGAGAAGAAGAAGAAGAGAGAGAGAGAGAGAGAGAGAAGAGAGAGAGGGGAACACAGCAGAATTTAGCATGCGTGCGTGCTGTGCGTGCGTGCGTGCGTGCGTGCGTGCGTGCGTGCGTGTGTGCATGCCTGCGTGCGTGTGTGCATAGTCTGTCGCTATTAAGCATTTTTCATGACAGCTGATCATTTTCCGGTACTGAAAGTAATATCGGGTAAAATACACAGATGGAAAACTTGTAAAGGTTAACATTTAACCGATTGGAAATGAATACAAAACTTCTATATGACTGTTAGGCACCTTGCTAATCATTGAGTCGCAGAAATCTAAAACGTCTACAGAAAAGTGGATTTTTCTCTGAAACTTCTGGAAAAAATGTTTGCCACCAAAATCCTATTAAACCATTCTAAATTAAAATGATAGATTTTAATAGTTGATTACATGTATATCATTTTGTTCTGCACGTGTCATAAGATAAATGTCATATGTATAAGGCTGAAAAATAGTAATTAACTTTTGTTTGTTCATACCTAACCATGAAATGATGGTTAGATCCCCCCCCCCCACACCAAAATTACACCAGGGTTGTAGCGTACAGTCAACATGTATATACTGGTTGTTCTTTATATACAGAGTCTATTTTGTAGAGGTGGTTGAACTGTATAATTACCTCTCAGATAAACAGCAAAAGTGCGTCCTTTATAGACAGGTATCTATTCTATAGAGGTGGTTGCTAGCACAGGTTTGACTGTACGTAGCTGTTTGTGGTGTTCATCAGAAATAATTGTATAGTCCCGTAACCGACCTACAATTATTGTTAGTCGCCATGCCTTTGATCAGCCGGCATGCACACATATGCCATCTCCCTGTCTCCCTCCCACCAGCCATGAATGACTTTGTTGCAGGGCAATCATGTAATCAGTATTTGCTTTCCTCTCTCTTCTTTCTCACTCTCTCTCTCGCGCTCTCGTCTTCTCGTTTCCTCTCTTTCTCTTTTTTTTCTCTCTCTCTCAATATCTCTCTCTCTCTCTCTCTCTCTCTCTCTCTCTCTCTCTCTCTCTCTCTCTCTCTCTCTCGCTTTCTCTCTCTCTTCTCTCAGTGTGTCGCTCTGTTGATGGCATCTGCTCTACAATGTTGCACTCTGTATTGCGTACACCCTTCTGTCGGCATATGGGCCTTCTAGCTGCTGTCTGTCTTCTACTTACACGTTGCTTATGTACTTAGTTACTGGTGCCTCTTAGTCATTAGCAGATGTGTAGTGCCTCTGTCGTAATTCAAGCGTGTGCCTCTTACATGCATTGTTGTGGCGCCATCTAGCGGCCGTTTATCACAACTTCTACCCGGCATAAGTCACTTACACGCATTATTGCTGACGCTACTTAGTGGCTGTGTAGTCTGATTCTTTGTTTCTCTATATGGCGCTTATGTAATGCGGCTCGTGTCGTATAGTGTACAGGTTTGTAACTGTTGGTGCATGTAAGAGGTTATCATTAGATAGCACGATTAGTAGAGAGAACGTAGATATGTATGACAGCAACAAGATGTAATGTACAACGCTAGTTCTATTTTCCTTTACTAACAACTATAATTACTATATAATCCCTCTAGGGGGGCAAATGTCAAGTACAAGTTCGTCGCCTTAACTAGACGGTAACACATACACAATTCTCAACAGAGTTTAGCAGCTCAAAGTAGTTATACACATATATACACAGTTATACAGATACACATATAGGGAAGCCTATTGCTACCCGTGATCGTATGAATGAGTGGTTATGCGTGAGTGTGTGTAGTACACCCTTACTAGCATCTATGTGAATGCAGATAATAATAGAACATAACGATTTGTATGAACGTATTCAGGTATCTCTTTAATTGACAGCCTTATCTATGCATCCGCCCATAACTCGGCGAATGCCTACAGTCGAGGTGCGCGAGTCACATCTATTAACTTACGAGGTTATAGCTGAAAGTAGCCGGCTCTGACCAATATCGTCTGAATTGCAATCAATGTCTCTGACTCTCTTTCCGATCTTTCTCTCTCTAGTCGAACACGCAGTTATATACTCACATAGGTAGACACGCCTACCTATTGTTTATGGTCAGTCCGCACTACGTTACTGTCTGTAATTGGCTATTTCTACCACTGTCTAGTCCAGCGTTATATTTACACAGCTGGCCTGTATGCCAACCTGGAACAATATCTTATTCCTGTATATTTATTTCTCTGTCTTTTGACGGTATTACACACATACTCAAGGTAGACTCAAAGTAGTTTACAGACACATATCATACAAGCAAACAAGTCAACGCAAAGACCAAAACCATACTCACAACCTAGCGAAAGCAACTCTCTCGACTCTCTTTCTGTTCTAAAACGTCCCTTTTTATTCTACTTTCACTCTAATTAACCTGGCTATACCACGTGATCTAAGTATGTCACGCGTTGGTCAGACCGTCCACTTTCTTTTAACTTTTGAGAGGGAGGGGGTGAGATTACTGTTCTACTTTAGTGTGCTGTCTTGGCGCTAATGAGGCGGGTGAGTGGTTAGTCACCCGAGGCCAGTCCCTGTCACCGAATCTGCCGGTGTAATTTCTTATGAATAAGTATGGCTGAATTTGCTTTATTACACTTACACGTATTGCTGGTGCCACAGTGTAGTTATGCTGTGGATGCCGGCTGATTTTATTTAGTCGTGTGCCTTGCCATTCGTTTGTCACGAGTCTGTTGCTACGGGTACTACGGGGTGTATTCCGCTGCTGGCTCTCCTGTTTCTGCTACTGTTCAGGCCATGTTTATTCAGCACTTTTCCACTGTGTGTGTGTAGCTAGAGTGGCTGTCTCTTCACTCGTTAGCCCTCTGTCATCATCGCTGTTGTGGTTCTCTCTCTCTCTCTCTCACTCGCTTTCGCTATTTCACTGGATTGATTGTTGGTGTTGTTTCACTACCATCACCTACTGGGAGAAATTCCTTCAAGGTTGCCACATTAGCTGCAGCAGTGGTTGCACAGAAAGGCTGCTGGATAAATGTAGTCAAACTCTGATGGCTGACTGATTGGTGAGGTAATCCATCGCTAGATGGATAACTATCCTCAGTAGATGGCCAACCCATCAATCAGGCTACATGATCTAGCAGGGCAGCCTCATCATGTTGTCTGATCATGAATGGCCATACTGGATAGGTGGCCGGCCGGCTGATCAGACTGCCTGGCTGCTGGGTGGATTTCCAACCAGCTGGTCAGAACATCTAGCTGGTCACTCTGTCGGCCGGTTGGGCTGGCTCTCAGGATGCTTGTGTGCTCAGTTGTCCACATGCGATCGGTACGTTTCCTCGTCGTGAAGGGCCCCCTGCTCTCTGTTTGTTGTTGCAGCATTTACGAGTACAACTCGGAGCACTCCTCCGAGCAGACGTCTCCCGTGATGACTTCGTCGTTATCCTACATTCCCCTCTCTGCCGGCAGCTCCCTGCCCGATCTCACCAACATACAGTTACGTTCATCGTCTTCATCCTTCGTTGCTGATCCCCCCATCGCCGACGGTGGCGCCCCCCGTGAGCCGATGCTGTGCTCGCTGGCGGCGCCGGCTGGGTTGCAGGCAGCAGGGTACGAGGGGAAGTGGCCCCATGCCGGATCCATGGCATACAGGTACACACTCACGCACGCACGCACGCGCACATACACACGCCCCCTGCGATAGGTCGTGTTAGCTGCTAGCGTCGAGTCGTCGTTGCTCAGAAAGGCCTTGCGGTATACGAGTACACGCACGCACGCACCGTGCACGGCGTAGGAGTTGTCGTAGGGGAGAGTTCCGCACCGACACCCGGGGGGGTATGATTCCATACGTGATGAGAGATGCACGAGACGTGAAGTCGGTAAAGGTGTGATACTGGGAGAACTGAGGATTCTGGCCTTCCTGATTAACTCAAGACGTCGAGCTTTTGTAACAGGACGTATATGTAGGAAGCAGCAGGGTGAGAAGCACGTGTGCACAATCTCAGAGACTACCACAGCACCACCTTCTGAACTGGCAGCAGTGGTAGACAGGCGGGTGACATTCTATACTGTCAGGCCAGTAGGGAGGATTGCCGTGGTCAACCACTGTATGCAAGGAGAATGAATGAGATAGGCAGCAGGTCATGTCAGCAAAGATACCTGATTCATCCCGTCACTCTTGCCATGACAAAGACGCATGGGATGTTCTCTTGTCATTTGTCTAGGTGGACTAAATCGGAGAGAGAGAATGCTTGACAATCCAACACGTAGTTGCCAGATTTATTTTTATTTTTATCTTACTAAATTTGGTTGAACCGGGCGAATGGAGACAGCACTACAAGTTATCAGCCACAGATTAGTTCTAGTTGTAATTGAACAACCAGACAGTGTAACACTCAGTGTGCCGCACCACTCATTGTAAAGGAGTCAAAAGGAGTCCGGAGTCAAATACTCCCAGATTTACTGTTGTACTCCCTGATTTGACGTATGCAGGAGTCCGTGTGGCTCCCTGAAAATTCTGCCATACTACCTAGTTAGTTCCAGAGCACGGCCTCGTGGAAATACCGTATTTTTTCAGCTAATATCCAAAGAAAATTTGGCAGACGTGCAACCGCATGAAACTTAAAAATAAGCACATGCGTTATTGTTAATATCTTTAATTTTGAACCTCAGACTGCGGACTCCCTTATTTTGCTGCGGACTCCCTCTTTTTGAGGGTAGGGAGTTCGTTGGACTCCCGTGTTCAAAAGTTAATTTCTACCCCTGTTGTTCCATTAGCGGCTTATGCGAATAATGGAAGAGGTCACTGTTATGTCGAATCAAAGCTATTAGGCATTATCATTTTTTGATTTACGTTTATTTTCATCATTTTTAGAACGTGATTTGATGAAGTTTCAAGTGGTAACACTGTGTTACATTTTCACAACTTTCCTCTCCATTTTGTTTCATAAAGCCCGGCGCACACGTGAGTTATTTTACTCAAGTAAAATGACGCATAAGTTAAATTACTCAACGAAAATCCGCCGCACACGTGAGTAAATTGACGCATGCGTCAAATTACTCAACGAAAATTCGCCGCTCACGTGAGTAAAATGACTCGTGCGTAATTTTAGTTGAGTAAAATAACTCACGTGTGCTCCGGGCTTTAGAAAACTTTTATTGCAGTGTTAATAGTGATAGGAATCGTAATGGTAGTGCTTGGGTTAACGTCATAAGATATTTCATCACATTATATGATTTAATTTCAAGGTAAATATAATATATTTATTGGAGTGCCAGTTTTGATAGCAAAGCTGTTGTCTTTTTTAATCTACTGCACCTAAAAACCAATGCTGCTATCTGGTGACAAGCTTAATTCAACTATTGGCACATGCCGAAAAAGAGCAGGACAGCTGTAAAGACTGTACGCTCGTAAATGTTTCAGATTTACCTTAAAATTTAATTATTCCACATGATCAAAAGAAATCCGATGTCATCAATCCAAAATCTATTGTTACAATTAACATTTCAATTGAAGTTTTATCATCAAGAACATCTTTATCAAGTCAAATATTTATCTTGAAATTAGACGTGTTTTCGTTTAGCAGTTCATACATTTTTCATGTGTTTTTAGTAGTTGTGAGCGACATTGTTTCATTGACTTATTCTTAGCAGGTCCCCAACTGGCTCTAACAGCCCCCTCTCCAGAAGTCCCACAGTGCCACGGAGGCAACAGTCACCGCAGCTGCCGGACAGCCCACATAATAATGCTCAGGTAAGCGTAGCCCATGGCGTAAATGTTGCACGTGGAGCTGTTACAGGCATTCGTAAGTGAAGTTTACCTAATTGAGTAATAAGTTTAGCTTGCATTTAACACCTACTAATGGCACGCAAATAGTCACTGTGTGAATATTGTCTTCAGATGATGACCCCCGGTAGTAACTATTAAAATGAAATATCCCCAGTATTGGAAATAGCAGCCTTCCCCCTTCTAGTTCGGCACGCATCAATTTTAAGTAGGGCTGGCTAATTTTTACGGATTTAACTATAGTTTATATAGTATAAATCAGCATTTTTCAAAATCAGCCCTGGCTGGGTTCTGCAATACTGATTTCCCTGATGAAAAGCTTTCATAATTGTTTGTATGTACACTTTTATTTCTTGATTGCCAAGTGAAAATGACCCCCAAAATGCCATGTTTAGCACAAACCAGCCCTTGTGAATTGATGAGTGTAGATCGCAAAACATGAACAAACTGCCGTGTCCATTCGTTACGTAAAATTTACGTTAATGACCTTGGTCACAAATGAATTAACACGTTTTGTTAAATCTCATAAGTAGCATTAAGGAAAACAAAACTTCTTTTTCTTAATATTTTTTTTGCACAAAGGAACAAATTTTGGCTTATATACATACTATTTTGCATGCCTTAATGACACACATATATATACGTAGAGAAGTTGATAGAAGTCACTAAGCACTCACTGTTTAAATATTACTCTAAACAAAAAGCGTGGCACGCTTTACAGAATGCATGCATAGAACACTATTTTTATTAGATGTATTGATGGTCTTCAGGGGAGAGCAGCTTGAAGTCTCAGCAATTATTTTGACATCTTCACTGCCTTACAAAGGACGTTAATTTTAAAGGGATACTAGACTAGAATTTACTGCATACAACTGTACTTACTGTATAACAAATCGTCTATACCCACACGTACTTGGTACCAGATACCTAATTTAATTGTTATAATTAATTATACATCAACGCTACAAAATTTGGACGGCGCCATTGACACCAGCGACTGTGCTGCCACCCTGAAAAAGTTGCGCATATCCCAATATATTTTGCACGTTACAGACCAAGGGCTAATCATAAAGGTGCAGTTATATTTATACCTAAATGCTATTTAACCGACTGATGTTTATTTTAGTTTTATTAAATTTATCCATAATATAACTGAAACTATATGTCGTTTATAAGATATTACAATCCTTTTGCTTTTAAATTAATAAATAAGAAACACCCTCAGTCTGTAGCCCTTGGCTGAAAAGTCGTTTTGCGCAACTTTTCAGATCATGCGCTTTGAGTGGCGCCACCGTCGTTGTAATCAAACTGTAGTCGTTAGTTTTAAAACAAAACAAAATATTTCTAATGGTGATGAACCATGAAACTTTTTATGTAGTGTAAATTTAACCTAAATTAACTGAAAATAATCTTAGAACCCAGAGTAAATGATCCCTTTAAGAGTGGCAGTGTCTACTTTTCAGTCGTGATGTTTTTAGTTAGAATGGTGAAATGAGAGTTTGCATGTTGACTTTAATCTATCATTGTTGGTTGTTACTATGGCGACACCATGTGCGGTGCACTTGCCAATCGAAATTATTAGAAGAGTGCAAGAATGAACTTCATCTAATCAAAATAATGCATTTAAAAAGTGACCTACAGAATACTCATACAAAGTGCTCTTATGGCATGCTCTTTGCACACATACCTTATGGTGTACTCTTAATTGGACGCTTTCACAGCATGTTCTTATGGCCTGCTCTTGTAGCATGCTCTCATAGTGTGTTCTTACAATGTGCCCTTATAGCATGCTCTTACAATGTGCTCTTATGCTGTACTCCCACAGCATTCTCTCTCCAATGTACTATTGACTGTGTGACTTTGTGTTGTCTAATCGCTTGTGTTCGCTCTGTCACGTGCACACAGTACACAATCCCGATGGACATGACTCTGCACACGATGGTCGGCATCATGGACCAGCAGGCGGCAGCACCGTTCTCTTACCCGCCGTCCACGCTCGATGCGTCGCCGCGTGATCTCACACCGTCGTCGCTGCGCGGGTCCTCGCCTCGCATGATGTCCTCCGCGTCCATGCAGCAGCAGCAGCAGCAGCCGATGTCGTACGGCATGTCTCAGCCGGCGGTGAGCATCGGCGCGGCGACGGGAGGCGGCTACGCTCCGTCTACGCACGGCATGACGTTGCCGCTGTCGCGGTCCTACACACAGAAGATGACACCGGGAGGGACATACGCGCAGACATCATCGCCGGGGGTGATGTATGCACAGACGCCATCGCCCGGGCCGACGTACGCACAAGCGGCGTTGCCGGGGCCGACATATTCACAGGTGGTGTCGCCAGGGGCAACATATTCACAGGCGGTGTCGCCAGGGGCAACGTATTCGCAAGGTGGTGTGGAGGAATTAACGTCGAAGCCTGGTGTAGTGCAGCAAGTTCACCCGCAGGTCAATCAGACCCTAGGAACACCCCAACAGGCGGTATGTGAGTTACGCGTGTTTATATTATGCTGGGTTTGCGATAATAACCACAAAGAAATGGGGTGAGCTTGACCTAGCATTATCATGCAAGAGAAGCACGGTTATCTCACTTATGCACATTGACAGGCAAGCCTACATCGATAAGGGTCACTGAAGGGAAACACCAAAAGGGTTTTTTATAGACAGATGTTCGTTTTATAGATATAATTACACTGTGTAACTATAGTAAGAAAAATCAAGGTACGGAAAATGTCACCGAAAGTGCCCTTCATAGGCAGGTGTCAGGTATTATAGTGTTGTCTGCAAACACAGGTTCGACTGTGTTAGCTCGGCGAACGTTGCTTGACAGGTGTGTCGGTCGCGTGCTTGTATCGGATGTAATACTGCTATTTGACTGTATCACTGTGATCACTTGTGCGTGTGACTGACTGATCCCTCGTTACCTTTCTCTCACCAGGCGTCGATGGCATATCGGAGCCCTCAGTCACCGGAGCATTGCTGCAGCCCTGCACCACCGTCGCCTGCGGGTCCGTGCTCCCCCGCCCGTGGTGTGTCACCCGTAGGCTCACCCGGCTCACCCTACAGTGAGGCGTACGTTCTGAGTCCGCAGCTAGCGCGACAAACCAACGATCTAGGACACCAGTTAGAGCAGTTCAACATGGTAAGCTGTGACAGCAGTGATGGGTAATTAGTATGTTGCTGGTGATTAGGTCGAGCTGAAATCAGACGCTGCCCGATTCGTTAGACGTCGACGTAGAAAGTTATGTGCGTGGAAAGTTGCGTTGATAAAAATGATAAAGATAGATGTCGATTGAAAAACCATCAAAATGTGAAGTTGTGTACGGGTACGTTGTAACGTATGTTGCACTTGTTTCAGGAGCAGACATCTCGATCAAAGCACCCTTCGTCGTCATCGCAACACACGGGACAGTATTCTCAGCCGCTCCAAGTATGTCTCAGTGTACAGAATGTGAAGTGTCATGATGCGGCTACTTTGTCACTGCTATTTTACACATGGTCCAATGCTGTGGTACATTATATCATTAAAAAATGAAAATGAAAATAAATATTAAACATGGCCAAAAAATTATGGTACTAATGAGACAAAAAAAAATCCTCGAAAAGCAGACTAAAAAACATGGTGTCCTGCTTCTAATCTAACGGCCATTATTAGGAAATGGTCATTTTCTCACACATTTTATGTACTGTGATAGTAATTCATCTATTACTTATCATCCACAGGTGCTACAAAATGGATCTGTGAACTCGGTACGTGGATGCACGATGCAATCCCAGAATAACAACACCATCCCTGACATCATTATAGGTATACTGAACCTCAGTGCTAGTCACATGACATGACTAGTAAGCTAATTCCACACCATATTGTCTGGCCTGGTGGCAAGGGGCCTGCTGCCTTCCCTAGATTTTGGCGAAATATGAAATATAAGCTTAATTAATGGATAAATAACCCTAATATGAGTTTAAATCATCACGTAGTCATCTATGAAACCCTCGTCTCGTTCTCCCCCGACTGATGCGTGACACTATGGACGTTGACTAGGGGCTGCGCTCTTCCCATGTCATTAAATATTCGTGAAATTCACCCCCCCTCCCCTCTAGGAACTCGCACAGGTTATGGTGCTGACATTGGCGATCTGTTACAGATGACCTGGGAAAGGACCTTGGACAGGCGATGGGACTCGTTGGTGCGTTTGACCCCGACTTTCTACCTAACCTTGAGGTCGATCAGCTCGACCTTCAGATGCTCACCGGTGAGATGGACACTGTGGCTGATACAACGACTGGAGCCAACGACTCGTTTCACGTCAACAGATTGCAGTGATAGATCTCGGCACGCGCAGCGGGCTGTCATTGACTGGCACGCCCGCCGCGGGGCTGTCATCACTGACTGGCGCGCGCGCCGCGGGCTGTCATCACTGACTGGCGCGCGCGCCGCGGGCTGTCATCACTGACTGGCGCGCGCGCCGCGGGGCTGTCATCACTGACTGGCGCGCCCGCCGCGGGCTGTCATCACTGACTGGCGCGCCCGCCGCGGGGCTGTCATCATTGACTGGCACGCCCGCCGCGGGGCTGTCATCACTGACTGGCACGCCCGCCGCGGGGCTGTCATCACTGACTGGCACGCCCGCCGCGGGGCTGTCATCATTGACTGGCACGCCCGCCGCGGGGCTGTCATTACTGACTGGCGCGCGCGCCGCGGGGCTGTCATCACTGACTGGCATGCCCGCCGCGGGCTGTCATCACTGACTGGCATATGCCCAACCACACAAGGCCCCACGCCACGATACGAACGGCAGCGACAGTGGATGGTGGCTGCGCTTGCCTGGTCAGAGCGTGAGGTTCCTGATGCCTGATGGCAACATGGTGCAATAGCAAACGTGATGCACTGTACATGTGGCGGCGGGACTGAATGGCAGACAAGATGTGCGATGGCAACAAGACGTGCAGTTAAGAAAAGCTATGAGATGGCAACCAGGCAGAATAGCAATATGGTGTGTTCTTGTAAGTAGACGTGCACTCACAAGTAGGCATGTCTTACGAGAGCAGATGTGTAATCTCACCAAGATGTGCAATGGCAAAAAGACATCGAATGGCAACAGCATGTGTTGACAGCAAGACATAAAGTTGGCAACAAGATGTATGATGATCACAAGTCAGAATGGCAAGAAGGTGTGTGGTGGCCACGAGACGAAATGGCAACAAGACGTAGAATGGCAAGAAGATGTATTATAGCCATAAATGTAGAAAGGCAAGAAGATGTGTGATAATAACACGTGACACAACAGCAGTGAGAAGACATGCGATGTCAACAAAACCTACAATGACAATGAGGAGATGCAATGAGGAGAGGCACTGACAAAATGATTGGTGAACGCAACACGAACGTGTTGTTGCAGCAAGACAGCAGAGTTTACAGCGACTAGGATGTGGTCTAAATGAGCTACCTAACCCTGACAACACAGCAACGGTGAAGACGCCAGCTACAAACCACTACAACAAAGCCCCAGCTACAAACCACTACACTGCCTGCAGCCTATGCAGCGCCAATGACACATGGGCGCTTCTCACGGCATCGTCACGTGAGTTTGGATTGGCGAGTGTCAAGATACGTAGGGTGAATGGGTCTGTTGCTATAATAGGCCGAGGAAAAAAGCTACAATTGTCGTGCCACTGATTGTAGTGCGTGGCGTCCATGTTATCATGTAGTAATGCTGCCATTATGGTTGCACTATAGCGCATATTTGGATTTTTGGAATCGCCATGTGCTCCATACACCAGAGAACGTATATAGTTTGTTTGGAACTGAGCAAGGCTTGCAGGATGTCTACTTGTGGTGATACCTGTGTTGTGTTCTGACCCGTTGATTTATTTTGAACATAGTGGTGCGTAATGTGCTTCGGTTTGTAATTATAAACGTTTTTTAATGAACATAAAACATGCCTATATTTACTCTAATGTATAAAGCGTCACATGCACATTTCGACTGTAGATCGTAGAGCGTTTTATACACGGGGAGGGGGGTCAATTCATGAGTGAAAAGATGTTACTTTTGATGAAATAACGTGCAATCATGTGAATAAGTAAAAAAGGCTATTGTATTTTCACATTTCAAAAATGTAAAATGTGTTTTAAGGGGTTACTGTGTAAAAAAAAGTCTGTATTCGTTGAGGATTTAGTTGAAAGTCTGAGCATTCACTTTTGGCGTGGATAGTGAAGATTTTAAAATGTAGACATTTTGTGAGATAGAGAGAAGGAGAGAGGAAAGCGACAGAGCGAGAGCAAAAGAGAGAGAGATAGAGATAGACAGAGAGAGAGATAGAGATAGAAAGAGAGATAGAGATAGAAAGAGAGAGAGAGAGAAAGAGAGAGAGAGATGTTAAATACGTACCTTGTTATGAATTTAGAATATGGGGAATTTGTTAACGTAATGATTCCATGTTTAGTTCTCTTTCTGCTGTCGGGTCATCAGCACATAGGTTCTTTTCTTTGTTAATGAAGTGTGAATGATGTAACATATATCTGGATCTAGCATGAAATTGGTCGCTCTGTTAAATCGGGACATCCTAAATATCGTATTATGTGGTAACTTGAACGACTCTCGCTAATGTTACCCTGAATGTAAACTTCATTAAAGAAATTTATACTAAATATCTACCTAAGTTTGTTTGTCGTGTCGTGCTAGCCCGATTAAAATGTTGTATGATTGACCTATCCGCCTAGCATGATTGACAGGCAGCTTTAGCCAGTTGTTGTTATGCTAGGACGTTTTAAAAGACAATACTTAGCAACGAAGAGTTGTAAGGTGAATAATTTGGCGTGTCTGCGTGAAGAACGTCTAAAGTCGGTCTAGCTTGACAGACCCGTTAACGATGTGTAAGCGGGGTGATGGTATCTCACTCAGTCTGATGGGTATAAATACTGGTTCACAGTACTGCTATTATAAGATCATGTAAGTGTAGTCTATGTGAAGTATGCCTGGTATTGCCTCACATTAACATTGTGAGATATTTATCTTTTTGTTTGATTGGCAAAGGAAAGATTTTGCCCAAAAATTGCTCTACATCTCACGCTCATGTTAACATCTGCCAATCATTACGTATGCGCCCATTGTCGAACCGACTCTGCTTTTCACGGGCAATTATCTGTGCGATCACATGCTTGCATACCGGGAGTGCGTGGCATTAGCATGCTAATTTCGCATCATATATACACACAGCCGATTACTCGTACGACGGAGAAGCGATACAAACCCGGTATGCCGCGACTCGCTATAGTATAAAAGGCTGACAGTGTTTCACCTGAGAGTATATGTCATGCGCCTCGGGGCCATGTTGTCAGATGTATTGCACTACAAACGCGCCTGCTATCAGAATTTTTTTAAATTTCCTACCGATGTTTCTTATTGTTATTAGCAAATATGGATTATTAAGCTCATGATAGATTTAGCATGTCTAACCACGGAATAAGCCAGATACGACTGCACTGTTATTGTATAGCGTCATGTCAGTGCAATCGTAATGCTGCAGCAGTTACTTAATCTCATAGGGTCTATGTCCCCCAGTGTACTGCCGGAACGTACCCTGGGTACGATCCGGTATACCGGAACATACCCTGGTAACTATCTGATATGGTTAGGGTTAGGGAGTAGGCGTAGACGACTCCCTAGACTCGTTAGTGGAGTAGGCGAGCTACGGTCCGGCATATTAGATAGTACCAGGGTACGTTCCGTTATACCGGACCGTACCCAGGGTACGTTCCGGCAGTACCCTGGGGGACATAGACCCTATCAGCGTTACTTAAAGCAGCAATTTCACTGAAACGCGTAAATTTTGCATTCTCAGCAGAAGATGCATGCCAGCTCCCAGGTGAAACACCGTCAGCACACGTTACTATAACGTCTTACGACGTCCTGGTATCGCGTGTATATCTTCTTGTTAAACGGAATACTGTTGTAGTAGTCATCTTCCATACTATAGCGTCTATAACAACAGTGGGCGTGAAGTATTTATTAATAGTGCTATTTTTCGCATATGTTGTTGTTGGAATCCGGTTACGTTCATATGTCATTGGTGACGAGTAGTAACGTATGAACGTTGCTGTGGGTGCGTGCGTGTCTGCAGATCTTCCTCAGTGCTTGTCTCCCGGCTGGTGTTACTGATATACAATAGGAATGGTGTGATTATCTACTTAGTGTACATACACGCGCCCATTTACACACTGCTAAGCGGGTTTGCGTGTACTCAAAACACTGCAATGCGGGTGTGCGTGTAGTGTCAAAAACACTGCAATGCGGGTGTGCATGTAGTGTAAAAACACACACTACAATGCGGGTGTGCGTGTAGTGTAAAAACACACACTGCAATGCGGGTGTGCGTGTAGTGTAAAAACACACACTGCAATGCGGGTGTGCGTGTAGTGTCAAAAACACTGCAATGACAACGACTAATCCTAACATTCAGCGTCAGCGAAATTGCAGCACGGTGCGTGCATTAACAGTTGGGGGCTAGGTCAAAGTTCGTCTTCTTAATTTATTGTTACACGATGGCTGATATTTGAAATGCGTAAACTCGAGACTGTTGAATGTAACATGTACCAATCACAGATTTTGAGTCCCTTGTGCCAAGTATGGGCAAATACTTTCTTTTAGATGGGCAGCCTTAGAAGATAAATGCCAAAAATCCTATAAAATCGAATTTGACTCGGCACTTAAAATAATCTGTTTGACGGTCAGACGGTATTGTGATCTGAAGACAGCAGAGCAGATTAATTTTCATTGCGAAGTGTTTTTGTCACGTGCCGATGAAAAAATGATCCACGGCTGTGATTGGCTGTTTATAAAATTCGCGCGATTATATCGCTAGAAATTAAAACCGATTCTATCTATTTTTAATTTGTAGTTACGATTGTCGCCGGACGTTATCGCGTGCAACGGCTCATTAAAAACAATCGTTTGCATTCTTCTCAAATGTCGGCGAACGTTAATGTTGGTCGTTGTCGATACAGTGTTGCAACGTGTCTTGACATTTGACGGAGCTGGAAAAGGCGGCATGACGTCATCCGTCATCAGCGCTATCCATGCGCGTGCGTAACCGCCCGGAAGCTGGTCTGACGGTTGTACAAACCCATAATAACGATATCATGTGACGCCGCAGTACTCGGTATAGTACGAAGAAATGTCTAAGCTTTCACACGTCGCATATAGGGTATATAGCGCGGATACTAAGTGTATCTGGCGCGCGGATACTAAGTGTATCTGGTTGGTGTCTGCAAGGTATGCGCAGTTGTGATAGAGAGAATTCGCGAGAACAGTACAGGGTGCGAAGTATATTCGGTCCACATTAGAAGAACTATAGGTAATCTGAAAGTTCTAAAACTAAACCGAGTGGGCTGAATCTATGTGTAATGAGATGTCAGTGACAATGGCGTAGAAGTACCAGCAGAGTATTAGTAAACATACTCCATAACCACCGCGTATCAGCTGATCATTATTGGTCAACGGGATATCGTGTATACCCTAGTGTGTTTTGTGTTGTAACGTGTGCAGTGCAGAACATTTCCTATTGATGAGTTGAGTAGAGACAGGCAATAATGTACGGGACAAGAAATGTACCATCGTGGTTTTAGTACGTAGAAATCCGTGAGTCACTGGTTGATGCGTAGCAATTTGGTTTATATTTATATATGTGTGTGCGTGCTGGCTAACATGAATTTGCACCTGGCTACCTATAGTATGATTATATAGGAGAATTTAGTTGTTGTGAAACATCGATAACAACACAGGGTCGAATAACAAACACAAGACAGGGTTG